TTTATTATGTTATTATTTTTAAAATTTGAGGGCACACAATTATCAAAATACATTCTTGACTCTTTCTCTTCATGTCTTTTACCATCCTAACTCACCAATCATTCTGTTCAATGTTCATCAATATATTTATTAATGTTGAATAACAAATTCAAAATATCAAAATTTATGGGAGTTTTTTATCTGCTTACACTATATTATTCTCTTGTACGGCTAACACTACACTTCATATATTCAGTCTCACAGCCTGAAACCCTTAACTTCTAACGTTCATCTCCAAATGAAAATTTAGAAATAATAAAACTCTTTGTTTTGCATGTAAGGTCTTTCCCTTGGTGATATTATGGCTGAGAGTTTTGTTCCTAGTCAATTTTTTATGTGCATGTTTTTGATTTTTTTTGTTCATGTCATAATGAACTTAGACACGTGTACTGGTGATATCTTTTCATACAATGTCGCAAGTGTGAGGGAATTTCTTATTTTCATTTAAGCCTCTAATAACATGGGAGTGCTGGACCATTGTTGCATATGCTTGTGTTTATGGTTCCCGACATAACCTTACCAATTATTTTCTACTTTGCATATATTCATACCAACGACAATACCAACTTGTTCATATTTCAGAATGCCGTACCTTTCCCTGAGATTTCTCCATTTACATCATCTTTATATTTGTGTTGTAATAAAATTTGTAGGTTGTAATTGTCACAGATCGGCACATATTCTAAGAAGAATGTCTGCTTCATGATGTTCCTGGATGAGCTAACGTTGAAAAAACTTTCTTCAGAAGGACATGTTCCTGATGACATGGGAAACATTGGTCTATGGCGAATAATTGTCGTCAAGAACTTACCATATGCAGATATGCGAAAAACTGGAAAGGTGCCAAAATTTTTGTCCCATCGTCTGTTTCCATCAGCTAGGTAATGTGTATTAGCAATACTCATTCTGCACTAACCTAATATAAACTAAAGCTTTTTTGTTACCCAAGCCAAGCACAGATGGATGTGTGACTTCCCTTAATGGTTTTTTATTTAACATCATGTTTTGACATATCGGGTATCAGATCCGTGCTGGTCCAGTCTTTAGTTAACATCATGTTTTAACATTTTGGGCATCGGATCCATGCTGATCCTTGATCGGATCTGCATGGATCCGGTATGTTCTGGCATACTGGTACATAGTACATCGACCATGTCAAGGACTTATTTGAAGAGTTGAGTATACACAGTGTTGGGAGGCATATGCTGCGGTCCATGCCATTGACTTGATAGGTCATCACACCTTTTCATATCATTCACTTTGTATTGGTCCGAGCGAAATGCAGAACCAACCACTTCTGATGCTATCTTAATTTCATGTTCTAGTCATCGATGTACTAATCTGCGTCCATGGTCGTTCCAGGTTCTCTATTTGGATTGATAGCAAAATGCGTCTTCATGCTGATCCGATGTTGATTCTTGAATACTTTTTGTGGAGGACAAGATCAGAATATGCTATCTCAAACCATTATGATCGCCATTGTGTCTGGGAGGAAGTACTCCAGAACAAGCGCTTGAATAAGTACAATCATACTGTTATTGACCAGCAGTTTATGTTCTATCAGTCTGATGGTTTGTCGAAGTTTAATGAGTCCGAGCACAGCTCTATTCTACCAAGTTGTCTGTATCATTTACAATTCTATTTGAAGTTTGCATTTTGGCTCATCGTTTTGTCAAATAATGATGTTGCGATTTGCTTTTGCAGTTGTTCCAGAAGGTTCTTTTATCGTACGAGCTCATACGCCTATGTCAAATTTATTTTCTTGCCTCTGGTTTAATGAAGTCAACCGGTTCACCTCACGTGATCAGTTGAGTTTTGCATACACTTTTCTAAAGCTGAAGAGAATGAATCCAGGAAGGCCATTTTATCTAAATATGTTTAAGGTAACATAACTTCTCATATGAAATTCCACCATACTGAAGTTTGAGAATTAAAATATGAAAACCCACTTTTGCTTGGTGAACTTCAGTATTCTGCATGTGTATGCTTTTAAGTAATCAATTTGGAGAGGTCACTGCTTAACTATTGTATCCAGGTGATTTGCACTTACAGTTTATTATATTATTTTAATTATCCGAGTGGAGTATTTATTTGAACTGTGAAGCTCCTACTTTATAGTACCCAAAAACCATCTATGTTGACTATGATCTGACCATGCCTATTCTATGGCGGCACAAGTGTCAACACTGGCAAGTTTTGTGTATTCACCAATGAACTCTCAAAGGTCAAGATGCATCTTCTTTTATTACTCACAAGACTCCTTGAAGTTGTTTCATTCTTGTCTCCAGCACACATGTTAAGGCATCAAAGAAGCATCTTGTTTTGGCTTTAGCTTACCTTTCTAGACATGTATTTGGAAATAACTGCATGAATTAAAGCTGGTGTAGCTAGTAAGTTACAAGAACAGGATCATTGATTCATGCTCAAGATATTTTTGTCATGGTAGTTCAGACAAGAGCTTCTCCTGATTAATATATATAGGTAACAAAGTCTGCTTTCTTTCTGATCGTTACTACATTTGTTAACAAGTTAAAATATTAGATGTATAATTTGTTTATTTCAAGTGTCTTCTGGTTTTTCACATTCTTTTCCCTCGTTAAAAGCAAATTTAATGGACTGTCTCCGATGTTTGTTTGCGATAGTCGTAAGAATATATATCTGTTTAGTACAGCACTATGATAGATCACAATTTAATCTTCTCTGATTGTTTAAGTCTATATCGATGAGGAAGATAATCTATGACAAAATATTTTCCCTGATAGAGAAGACAAAGTTGTCAAAGTAGCCTTGGACTATTCTGGAAGACTATAGTAAGGGATGAAAGTAAAGAATCAATTGTAGTCCTTTAGTGTCATAACAGATCATTTAATACAGCTGGGCATAACTTTTCTCTAAAAAAAAAGTACAATATACACAAACAAATGCCATGTTTGATCATTTGGAACTCACCATCTTTCCTCTGCCACAGGATTGTGAGCGGAGAGCAATTGGCAAATTGTTCCATCATAAGTTGGTAGATCATTCTTCACCGGTCCTTTGAGAAGATAATTTTAGATTCTTCAATCTCATACTAAGCTTGGAAGGTAGGAACATACAGCTTGACCACCGGAGACTCCTCGAATCAATGCTCAGCTACAGAGGGAGGAAGAACCAGATATGGATTTAATTCCTAGAAGAGCAGAGGCTCTTCATGCGGATTTTGTTGCAGAGCAAGGATCTTTTCTTTTTTGTTTTTCATAATTCAACCTTTCTTGCTGTTTGTTGTATTCTCATATTTTTTTTCTCATATATGAACATATATTTTTTTCTCTTTCTTGGTTCGCTTTTGTATTGGCGTTAGTCATCGTAAACAAAGCAGAAGCATTAGTGTATAAATAGTGATGGTGAATTGGTTGATATTCCTGTGGTCGAAATTTTGATATATTCTGAGTAATTACATAGATTGAGATAACTGGGAATCAACAAAAATATTTGACGAGATGGTACCACTATTATCTAATTTAATATTTTTTAATAAAATATCATAAATCTTGCTTTAGATGTTGTTGAAGGAAAATTTTGTACCCTTCTTTTGCTACATAGTTGTATATATGTATGATGTAAATCTCACTATTCATCTTTCTTTATTTCTCCATAAATATTATATGTATTTCTGCAAACTTAATACAATGAGTTTAAATTTGGTTTAAACTATATATTATATGTATTTCTACCGGATGGATCCTTCATCATACAGTATCAAGGTCGGATTGAATCAACTAAAATACAAAGAGTTCAACTACAATCAACTTTTATCTTTTGCGATAAATTAATTGAAGTGATCTTGCATCCGACAACCTCTTCTTTATAGCTTTTCCTTCACAGCTTGCATGAGATAGAGAATGCTGTTCGCATGAAAGCCGCGGAAAGAAGACCATGGAGAACAATAAAGCGACTAACTAACTTGGGACGATGGAGATTCTTGATTTGTCTCTTGTGATTATGGTACGGTAGATTACAAGAGTGTGTTGGTGGTATTGGTCCACAGCCTTTGGAATCCTCCCAATTTGGAGATGGTGATGCCCTCTATTCTTGCGTGCAACTTTCTCGAGATGAAACAGAATAAAGTGCTTGATTAAAGGTGTGCGTTACAATGGCGGGGTACGACCCCGTGGTCGCGTGCGTTCGATGGTTAAGGCAGATGCCAAAAGTAATATAGAGCTCCACTAAAAGGAGAGGCGAGCGAACTCCGAGACTCCCACCCGACATACTACACACAAAGAAGAAGAAAAGGAGGAGTGAGATCTGAACCATACATGGCGGTGTCGTCCGATTTGAAGTTCGTACTCTTCGAAATACTACCGACGCCTGCCCTGATGGCTCAAGGACGGGAGCTCCGTATCCAAAATCACCTGGAGATGGTTCACGATTGCATCTGTGCCCTCTATGCGGTGATCATAGATGCCCAGATGCGAGCGTTGAAGGAGCCGGAGGTGGAGGAGTGGGTGAACGACGTCGGGATAGCCGTCGCGGACGTGGAAGACCTGCTCCGCAGCATCCTGGGCTGGCAACCGAAGGGAGCGGCGGCATCCAACCTCCTGCCGTGCTCCTTCCCCGAAGTAGCATCTCGCCATGCTATTCTACTAGAGCTGGAGCATAAGGCAAGCAGGTTGAATTACCTCGTGAGGAGGGGGTCTTCGCTATGCCTTCGAAAGGAGATGATGGATTCTACATATCCACGACGAGAAGAAGAAGAAGGCGAAAAAGAGTACTTCACCATCTTGAGAGAAGAGGTGGTGGGAAGAGACAAAAAAGTAGAAAAAATCATAAATAAAATTCGTCGGAAGCAGCAACAAGGATCCAACAATAATGATGATGATGATGATGATGATGATGATGATGATGATGATGATCATGATGATGTTGATGATGATGATGATGATGATGATGGGCTTTGCTCCTTCATTTTATTCGGCCCATTTATGGCGGGGAAGACTTCCATCGGTCGCATGGTGTACCACCATCCATGGGTCTGCGAGCACTTTGATCGTCGAGTCTGGATTGACGGGTCCAAATTTTCTTCGTTCGATGTCATGTGGGTCATTAAAGAATTTGCAGGATGGATAGCTGGGGCGCCATGCGAGGACATCTGGTTGTCTTATGATCGATTCGGTAGAAGCGACAGATACTTCCTCATCATAGATGACTTCGTTATTGGGTTGGATGAGCAGGACAAGTTGAATCAATTGGAGCACTTTCTCCTTCTCGTGGGTGAACCGGGCAGCATAGTGATGTTCATCGTTGATGACGATCTTGATGGATCTTCTTATTTATGTTCACGGCACGGTTTCTTAAGATACAAAATTGATACTATATCGAAAGACAATTGGGTAAAACTATTGATGAGACATGCACTGAGTCATCCTGATCAGGCCAGGGTGGAGGAAGAAAGGATGCTAGATTCATTCGTCCATAGAATTCATGATCCAATCGATTTGTATCCTGTGCTTGCCAAGATGTTTGGTTCGATATTTAGATACACCGAGACGAGTCGATGGCAAGAAGAAATAGATTCTCTGTGTAGGACGGAGCAAATAGAACACAATCAGCATTTCAATTTGATGTTCCTCCATTATCTTTCTCCAATAATTGCACGATCGTGCCTGTATCAGTTGTTGATTCCACAGGATTACATCTCCGGCTATGCTGACTTGTTGCACGTGCTCGTTGCCGAAGGCATTCCACACAAAGAGAATATGGATATTCCACCATCGGTAGAATGGATAAACAATGCCCTCGGGCGATTCTACTTCCGGATGAGGGTTGGTCGAGATTCCACAATCCCACAACAATGTCTTCATCTACACTTGCTCGTGGATTCCCGTACATCCGCATTTCCCACGAGCTTATCTGCAAAAGTAAACAACAAGTTGAGAACCCTATCTTTGCATAGGGAGGAGGAGATGGTTCTTAAACAACAGCCATGTCAGATCACAGATATCTCGGCAACCATGTTTGCAAATCTCATCCATCTACGCATCTTGCATTTAGGTGCTACAAGGATCCAACAACTTCCTCACACGGTTGGCAAGTTACTAAACTTGAGATACCTCAACCTTTCTAAGAGTGAAATCCAGGTACTTCCTGTATCCCTATGTAACCTTGGAAATTTACGAGTTCTAAATTTAGCTTGGTGTGAGAAGCTTTGGAGACTACCTAGACGGATCCACAATCTTAGGAGTCTACAGATCATGAAGTTAGCTTTTTGTGCAAGGCTTCAAAGGTTGCCCAAATCAATCACCGGCCTTGCGAATCTACAAGAATTAGACCTTGAAGGTTGTCATGACCTCATCGAATTACCCGAGAATTTTCATAACCTGAGAAAATTGACATACCTGAATATAATCAAGTGTCGCTCTTTGACACGAATGACCGATGAATTAGAGCAAATGCATAACCTCCAAATGTTATTTGGATATCCGATTAATACAATCAGTAGTATTAAAGATGTCATCTCAGAGTTGCAATCTCTAAGAGGTCTCGAAAAACTTGATTTGTTGAATCTCCAAATCGTCTCAAAACTAAAGGATGCTTCCACTCCTCCAATGCTGTTGCAAGATGTACTACCAAAGCTCAAACATTTGGCACTGCATTGGAAATGGGATAATATGAATGATGTCGAGAAAGCTTCTGATGTCACATCGTTGCAGGTACTTGAGGGCCTCCAACCTAATATATATTTGTCAAAACTAGAAATCATTTCATATGCTGGTAAGGAATTCCCCATATGGATGAATGATGTGGCTTTATTTCTCTATAATTTAAGGGAGATCAGATTGGTCAATCTTCGGAGATGTGAAAGGCTGCCACAACTCGGGGAACTAGTTAATCTCAAGATTGTTGAGATAAGCGGCATGGATTTAATCACTGTTGCAACATTTCATATTCGTTATCCTGGGAGAATAATAATGTTAGATAAACTAATTTTCTCTGAAATGCCTCAGCTAGAAAAATGGGAAGAACCAGGAGAAGGAAATGTTGAATGGTACATTGAAGAATTGACACTGATGCAATGCCCAAAATTCAAGATATGGGAGTTCTACCCGATCGTGCGCAAGTTGAACATTTGGTTGAACAACGAGATGCTATGGCGTTGTCAATCCGTGGTTTGGCAGAGACTCATCAGCCGTATTGACGAGTTGACGATTGTTGGATGCCAAGAGCTGATGTGTTTGCCACAAGTTATACGGTCGAATCGATGGGTCATCCAGTTGACCATTATTCGCTGCAATAAATTGATCTCTATACCAGATTGGCTGGTAGAAATCGGATCTCTAAAATCTCTGTTTATATCTGGTTGCACTGAGCTGTCATACATACCACCGCAACTCAAAACTCGGTCAGATCTTCTACTACAACATAGTGGTTGTCCCAAGCTGCGGTTCTAATGATTTCTACTTGAAGTCACCCCCATCTGAATCTTCAGCATTATTCCCCCCTCTTGCTCTAATCTCTGCAGCTACAACCTGGTATGCATACAAATATTTTAGCTCTTTGTTATGCCCTCTTTAAACTTGTTTATCTGATCTCTGCTTGTTGCAATATTAATTAAGTACTCCATATGCATGTATGCATGATGTTGTCACGCTAGCTTTACATGGAGAGAGAAACTAATGAACAATCGTTTGATACTCTGCGATAATAAACTCCAATGCAATTGATTCTATATGGGAACGTGTATATGAAATTGTACCTATTTGATGTAATTGATAGAGTTGATTAAACAACATCGTTGATAGAGTGTATAACTCATCTATTATTATAATTGGTTTATCTATTATTGTGTTTGTTGACTAACTATAAGCTAAAAACACAACCACTTACAGTAGGCGGTCGAATGTATGTTGAAAATGTATAATGTTGCACTTGTTTTTAAACATAGGATGAAACCATTTACTGTTGTGGTTATAGTTTGCGACGTAAAACAGTCTATTCCTATGGTCATTATTCATAGGGTAAAATTGTCTATTCCAAATGCATAAAATACTTGTGGGTTTTAAAGTTCAAAATCTTGTGAGTTGAGCTTTAGGCATATCAAAAGGTAAAGAACACAAAAGCTATTAAGATTTTGTAATTTAATTCGTGTATAAAACGATGGTGAGCAGAAGAGCTCATGTAAGAAGGTACCCATCTTCCTTTACCTCCCCATGATCAATGTTAGTGGTTTACTAGAAGATTTTTTGAATAAGTCTAATACAGCTTGTCAGAACATTTCTCAGACAAAAAAAAAGAAAAAGAGTACAATATACGCAAACAAATGCTCAACTTGTTCCTCAATTGTTGAGAAAGTGTGCAATCTTTTGTGGTTGTTTGTGTCTATTTTGTTTTTTTTTTTGCTAAAACAATAATTGCAAAACCTATCTATCTTCCTTGTTTTTATAGGTTTCATGTAACATTATGTGGTGGGGAACTTGCATTTTCAAGTTTCATGATTTGTTGGTAAAATGCAGTGACTAAATAGTTG